TTCTTCTCTAAATATTATACAACAATATAAACAAAACCAAAGTAGAGAAGAAAGAAAATACAGAAAGAAGACCAAAAAAAAAAACAAAGATCTGTAAAAACCAGTCTTTATTTGTCATACAAACTGAGTATGATTTGAAATTGTACGTGTGTGAGTTTAAGTATCGAATATTTTGGTTAGATCAAAGCTTCACTTCAGCATTCAGTCTGCTTTAAGCATTCTACTGGTTTGCATTTAAAACACGGTCAATAAGGTGTTGCGTTTGTTAGTGCTGGCTGGCTGCACTAGTAAAAGAGATAAACTTTTCATAAAAACAAACTTAAAGATACATTTTTTTTTTTTAATTTATGAAACAAAAACTATTTATACAGTTAAGAAACTTATAAACCTAAAAAAAAGTTAATATTATCAAATCAATTAAATAATATTTTTAATTAAGTGCAAATTAAATCAATTAATTTATCAATGTGCAAAATAATCATTAATTAATTGAATAGCATTAAGAGAAACGAAATCAAGTTTTTATTGATAAAAATCTTTGAAATTTCGTGTAGTGTGTTGGCTGTATACGGAAGCGCAAAATTTTTGTTTTGTATGAAGAAACAAAATTTTCAGCAAAGAGATCAACAGCAAAAACACATTGATCGAACCGTATTGTCGTTATTTGTGGTTCGTTCAAATGTAGTAAAAACCAAACAAAAACCACCAACTATAACAACAACAACAAAACCAAACAAATATTAAAAAAACTTCTACTCAAATTGGAACCGGTTTAAATTTGTATTGTAATTTTTCCAACTCTGTAGAGTTGTATGTTCGATATTTTAGTGTTGACTAAGCAAAAATAAAAAAACAAAAACAAAAAATCCAACAACAACAAAAGAAATATTGTTTGTGTGGGAATATATTTTGTTACCGTGCACTGTAATCAAAATGCAGTGATTCTTTTTTTTTTCTGTTATTGTTTTCCCTGTAAATGTAAAAGTGTTTGTGAATGTGTGTGAATGTGTTTGTTTTTTCCATTTGTGCATTTTTTCAGTTTTGTTTTGTTAGTGCAACAATAAAATCAAAGAAAAAATTTCAAAATCAAAACAAAGTAAACAAATGAAGTCAAAAGCAAAAGAAATGCGTTAAAACAGACTCAGTCACAATGAGGTGGCTTAATGCACATGGTTGCATTGCAGCAACGGACTGTAAGAAAGGTAAGTGTTCAAATGCAACTCTGTTTTAAATTGTTTAAGAATTTTGTAAACGAGAGGAAGATGAAGAGAGAGAGAGAGAGAGAAAGAAAGAAAGATAGAAAGTTTAAGCTTAAAATTGAGATGATTTTCATGATTTCAGTTTTTTTTGGGGTAAAAATCACGTTGGTTTTAAATTTTTGGAACTTTTTTTTATAATTACTGTAGGTTTTACTGAAGACTAGGGTTCTATAGTTGAAACGAAAAGTCGACTTTTCGACTTTTTTCATTTAGTTAAAAGTCGACTTTTCGACTTTTTGCATTTTATGAAAAGTCGATTTTTCGACTTTTCGATTTTTTTTCATTTAATTAAAAGTCGACTTTTAGACTTTACGACTTTAAGCATTTTATAAATAGTCGACTTTTCGACTTTTTTTACTTTTTTCGATTTTTTTTACTTTTTGACTATTTTCGAATTCTTTCGACTTTTTTTCGACTATTTTTTGACTTTTTTCGAGTTTTTCCGACTATTTTAGAGTTTTTGACTTTTTTCCACTTTTTTTAAATATTCGACTTTTTTCTACAATTTTCGAGTTTTCGACTTTTTCCGACTTTTCAACTTTTTTCGACTTTTCGACTTTTTACGACTTTTTTCTACTTTTCGACTTATCGAGTTTTTTCGACTTTTAGACTTTTCGACTTTTTTCACAGACGATAGTCGAGTTATCGACTTTTTTGGAACAAAATAGTTGACTTCTACTTTTCGACTTTTTTCGACAAAAAATCGATTGTTCGATTATTCGAAAGTCGATTTATAGAACCCTACTAAAGACATTTCCTAAATTTGATAAAATAATTATTTTATGGAGTTTTATTAAGTATCTATATACATATGTAAAGCGTAAAAGCGTTTCCCATCAAGATTATTTTTTTCGGAATTTTATTCAGTACATAGTGTATGTATAAGTCCCTGTCCTCAAAATCTATTACATATTAAACAAACAAGTAAAAAAGTATAGTCGGGTGTGACCAACCATATGATACCCTTCACCAGTTATAAGTATATCTAAAATTTTTTAATAATTTATGAATTTATGTTGAATTTTTCCTTAATTTCGATATATTTTTGATGAAGCAATTATTTTCTGATGGAGGCTATATATGGGGGCTAGGCTCAATTATGAACCGATCCTAACAAAATTTAGTGGAGGGATTTTTGTTAAAATTAATTAGCCGAATTTCATTGAAATACACGTGTTTATAAGGGAATTAACGACGTTCAAGTATTTTCGGAGAAGGACTTTGTAAGGGGACTACGGTTAAATAAGGGCCGCTCATTACGAAATTTCACAGTATCAATAATGCTTGTATAAAACGTAGTTGTGCCTATTTTTATATGGATACTAGTATATTTGGCATAATTATGGGCTCCAAATGCCAATATAGGCGGTCCGGTTATATGGGGGCTAGCTGAAATAATGGACCAAAGTCAATAGGGTTCGTCCTTGGGTTAAAGTAAAGTCTTTACCAAATTTCATCCAATTATCTTCCAAATTGCGACATGTAGTTTGATTACAAGACAGACGGACATAGCTTAATCGACTTAAAGGTGGGTATAGGACCATTAATTCTATGCGTTACAAACATCAGCACAAAGCCAATATACCCTTCCACTAAAGTGGTGTAGGGTATAATTAAAGCGTACAACGATTTATGATCATGAGACCAAAAAAGCATATACATCTCTAAAGGATTGAATCAGAATCTCCAGAGCATCAGGTTTTCGAGATATAGAGTTCAAAAATTTTAAAAACCATCAGACAGCTCAAGGACTTCTTTGTTTGTTTTCAAAATCTATTAGTCATCAGAAAGCCAAATCTGTTAGATATACTTCCTACTTTAAAATATCTCAGCCTTAAATATCAGGGTTCTGCGAAATCATTATGAATATGAACTGACACTTGATGAAAATTTCTAAATTTACTTTGAAATTCTGTCATGATGTTTTATCGCAAAACTTGCGTTCAGTGAAGAGAAATTAAAGTTTAGACCTAAAGTAATTTTTAGAAGTGGACCTGTCAATTGATCTCCAAGGCTAAGCAATTTGAATCGTCTTGAGTATTTCATGTTAGGTCACGTCAAGTTACTAATTTATCGAAGGGCTATATAAATATAGAACTATTATAAGGATCGGTATTTATGTATTTAGAGTTTTTACTCAAATAGATTATATACATGCTTAATTTCATGTTTCTAGGTTCCATATTATTTAAAATTCAAAAAGTACCTTTTGTAGAAGGAAAAAGTACCAAAAAGTCCCCTTTTATAGGTTCTTACCTAATCCGGGCTCTACCTGCTAAATTTCATGTTTCTAGGTTCAATATTATAGAAAATTATGGACCGATCTACATGAAATTTCATCGCTTTATTCGTATTTTTAAGCCAGTAATGAACGATAAAGTCATCTTCTGAAGAGGACCTTATATAAGGGTCAATTATGGACCAATCCTCGTACTTTTTAAACAGATATGCCCATTAAAGCTGTTTTTCGGGGGTCCACTTGTATGGGGGCTATCCGAAAACATGGGCCGATATTGCTCATTACCAAACAGTGGCTATTAATGAAAAGTATTTGTGCAAAATTTCAGCTGTCTGCTTCTTTCGTTTAGGCGCTATCGTGTCTACAACAGACAGACAGACGGACATGGCTTGGTCGTCTTAGAATTTAATAAGGATCCAGAATATATATACTTTTTTGGGTCTACAATCCATATTTCAAAGTGTTACAAACGGAATGACAAATTCAATATACCCCCCCATCTTTTTTGATGGTGGGTATAAAAAGTATCAAAAAGTCCCCTTTTATAGGTTCTCATCTAATCCGGGCCTTATTATTATAGAAAATTCAAAAAGTACCTTTTGTAGAAGGAAAAAGTACCAAAAAGTCCCCTTTCATAGGTTCTCACAAAATTTACCTTATGATTATGTGTGTTGTGTTTGTTAGTTTATTATTTCTGTCTCAGCATGCATAAGAAATCTCAATTTTTGATGAAATTTTCTGAGGTTGTCTCGGATTTTTGTTCATATCTACGATATTTATGAACCGATTTTGCTGATTTTAAATAGAAAACTTCCCGAAAGCATGTTTGACAGATTTGGCTCCCGAGGATTATATTTTCAACAGACAGACGGACATAGCTTAATCGACTCCGCTATCTATAAGGACTCGGAATATATACACTTTAAAGGGTCGGAAAATTATATTATAGAAATTACAAACTGCAGTAATAGAAATTAAAAACTGCAGTGGTGTAGGGTATATAAACTTTTTACAAATAATATGTAAATAAGACAATTTCTTTCTTACATACTTAGATTTAATTGCAACAAAAATGTTTGCAAAAACATCCAAAATACTAAATATATTCGTGAAGTCTTTTAATAAATCATATTACTAAGTAAACTCCTTATTGAAAAGTTTATAAAAATACATTAAATTAAAAATAAATTACAAAACTATTACGAAAAATTGTTCTTATCTCAAATTTGCATTTAATAACAAAAAATTATTTACATTTCACAGTTCAACTATGATGTAAATTCTTTCAAATTATGTGGGAAAATACAATTTTTTCCAAACCGGAAACTCCAAGGAAAACCATAAAATCATGCCCTTGTTGCATTTAGCAACATTTACAATAATCTCTACAATAAAAACGGTTTAACACAAAAAAATATAAAGAAGCAAAATATTTGCAAACAAAATCAAAAGGGAAGAAATGAAGAAAGGCAATTTTTAAAAGTAAATAAATATTGACTTACCTGAGTTTTTCAAGTGGCCTGCCTTTATTTGCTTATTAAATTTCCTGCTGCATAAAATTTTCCCATAATTTCACTGGAAAAAAAAACCAAAAATAAAAAAATTCTTATTAGAATTTTACAAACAAATAGTGAAGAGAAAATATTCAATTGGAAAAAATTATCAACAAGAGAAACATGGTTTTTCTGTTCATGACCCATTTTATCAGATTAAACCAATCAAAACTAAACGAATTTATTGGTTGTTAGAAGAAAAGTTTTTTCTTAGATAATTATGAATAATGGTTTTTTAATCAAAAACATTTATTTACGAGATTTGTCAACATTTAAAGGGTTAAGTAGCAAACAGTAGTTGTTGCTGCAGACAACAATGTTTCTTTTTTACCAGCGACATCATTTGAACTTGAAGTACTTGAATGTTTAATAATATTTATTGTATTTTTTTTTAATCATTTTTTTCAATATTTAATGAGTTTGTGGTGTCTGTGTGTCAATTATAATAGAAATTTTGATTTTTTTTTTATGAGACCAAATAAAATATAAAACTTTCTTTGATATTTATTTAATAATTATTTTTTTATGATCGTAAATACTTTAACAAGTGGATAATTAAAATTTGTTTATTTGAAAATAAATTTATGAATTTTATGATTTGTTTTATTGAGAAGAAGTTTTGGGGATACTTTATTTAATTATTGTTGTCATTATAGAATGGCGGCATTTTTGGGACTTTCAAAGAAAAGTGTCCAAAAAGGTTTTAATAGATGTTTTCAACTGAGTTGTCGGATTAAATACTTTTTTTCTTAAGAAAAATTAAACACACTTAAAGTTTAAACTTTAAAATATTCATCGAGAGTACCACACGTTTTCTCTAAAATTTAAATATTCTACCCAATGAGAAGTATTTCTTAGTCTTAAAAAACCAAATTTTCTATTCTAAAAGGAAAGGAATTTTAAACTTTTTCTTAAAAAATTAAATTTTTTATAATATTTTTTAAAAACGTGAAATTTTAGCAAATTTTTTTTTATAGAAAATTATAAATTTGCAAAAATTTTATTTAAAAGAGAGAAATTTTCTATCAAAAATAAAATTTTCTTTAAGAAGATAAATGTTTCGAAAATTTTCCATAAAAAAGCAAAAATTTTCCAACAATTTTCTATAAGAAGGTTTAGGTAAGAAGGGTAGCACCTCAATCAATCATGAGTAGCTCAAGTGGGTCCACCTAGTTACGGTCTAGTTATTACTTTCTACTTCCAGATTTAAACCAGCCGGTTTGTTTCACAAGTTTAGGATATTCTTAAGCCCAGAAACAGAATATTCCCCAATTTAGAGCCATTAGGATATTCTTAAGCCCAGAAACAGAAATATCCCCCAATTTAGAGCCATCCGTATAACAACGGATTCCTACTGGTATTTGCTGTAGTTTTCCGCTTGATCAAGACATTCTATCTAGGATCAGCGTTTCAAAGTTTCCGACATATTCCATGTCATGAATGCGATCAGGAACTTCCAATGATTGTGTATAACCTTCCAATGTGCCCCGTATACATTGATGACGTGTCCTATAACCGTTTTCCATCGATCGTCCCTTTACTTAAGCATCTGCTTAAATTGTAGGTCTTTATCGGGTATACTGCTTTTAAGCATACTATCGACTATACGTTCCAAGGTTTTAAGTAGTCTTATCGGTCGATTAGACTTAGGTGTCGCATAGCTAGGTTTCCCTGGTTTAGGTATAAATATAACCCTTGCATCCTGCCATGTAATGGGGATATATGTGAATTTCAAGCATGCAGTGAATATCTGAGACAGATGTACGGAAACCAGTCCCGCCTCCATCTGTAAGATTGTCGGGAAAATACCATCTGGCCCTGCAGCTTTATAGGGAGCGAAGCTATTGATTGCCCCTTTAACCATATCAGATGTAATTACAATTTCCGTGTTAGCCTCCGCTTCCTCCAATATCGATTCATCTATGTTATTCAATATACAAGATAGAGCAGCAAGGCCGATACAATGTTTTCTGCTTTCATTGAATTATGGGCAATAACATTATTACAACTGCTACAGTAGTTTTTATATTCGAGACCCATTCTTCTGACATGATTGCCAATAGTACATTGTCCCGTTATGACTGATAACAGCATTCTTATCTGTTCCCTGCGAAAGCTTAATAATAAGCTTGACCTGGGACCATCGTATAGAGGCCAAATTATCCTCGAAGTGAGACAGTTGGTTTCAATGAACTATCTTATTGGAGCCATTTCATATAGTCCAGTCTGAACCAGAGATACCAGTAAATGAGTCGATTTCATCTTCCCCACTAATGGCACCATCCCTGGTAAGTTCGTCAGGTATACGGTTTCCCTGACAATTACTATGTCTCATTCAGAGATACCAGGCATTCTTCAGATGTCGTAAAGATACCCGCTAGATTTCTGATCACAGCTTTGCTGTCCGTATATATATCACCCGATAATTGATAATACCTCTGCCAGTTGACGACTAGCTTAATAGCAGACAGCTCTGCCTGTAAGAGGATTTGATTCCAAATCTTTCAGTGTAAAAGCCAAAACTCACTCTCCCACTCCTCTTGGAGCCGTCAGTGTAAACATTTATTACATCATTAGTTGAGTGTGACTGGGGTACTCGGGTTCCGAAAATTTTTTATAATAAAAAGTTAGTTGGCGGTAAAAAGAAATAAAAAAACACAAAAATTTCTTAACCCAACTATAAACATTTTTTTTGTAACTCGTCACACACATAATTTTTGTTTCAGCTTAAAGAGAAATATAATTCGAATATAAAAATTTACCCACAGTGACTGTAACAATTGTCATTTCCTTTTGCTACTGTTTAAATTCTCGTTTATATAAAAATTCTCTATAAAAAAACAATATTATTAATCTTTTATAGTTTTTCTGTTAAGATTTCAAGATACAACATTTTTATCTTGCAAAATCATTTTTAAAAACAAATGTTTGTTTAAAGGACGACATATCTGTTTTTGACTCATACTTTATGGTCAGTTACACTTCTTTACTTTTCGTTGCTTTGATTTATGATTTGTACAAGAATTATTGTCAAATAATTGTCAACATAATGATATTTCCTTTCCATTTGTATATTGTGTGTGTGTTGCAAGAGAATTTTTCAAGATTTAACTAACAATGCACAAGAGGAAGGAAGTTGATGTATTACGGCACAGTGTTTAGCGTTGGTAGAAAATAAGGGTAGAAATATAAAATGTCTATAAAAGGAAAATATATTCCAACATTTTCTATAAAAAGAAAATTTATCGGAAAATTTTCTATAAAAAGAAAATTTATCCCAAAAATTTTTATAAAAAGAAAATTTAACCAAACATTTCCTATAAAAAGTTAAATTTATCCGAAATTTCCTATAAAAAGAAAATTTATACGAAATTTGTTTATAAAAAGAAAATTTATCCGAAGGTTTTCTATAAACAGAAAGTTTATCCGAAAACTTTCTATAGAAAGAAAATTTATCCGAAAACTTTCTATAAAAAGAAAATTTATCCGAAAACTTTCTATAGAAAGAAAATTTATCCGAAAATTCTCTATAGAAAGAAAATTTATCCGAAAATTTCCAAAAAATGAAAATTTATATAGAAAGAAAATTTATCCGAAAAATTTATATAGAAAGAAAAACATTTTCTATAAAAAGAAAATTTATCGGAAAATTTTCTATAAAAAGAAAATTTATCCGAAATTTTTTTATAAAAAGAAAATTTAACCTAACATTTCCTATAAAAAGTAAATTTATCCGAAATTTCCTATAAAAAGAAAATTTATCCGAAATTTCCTATAAAAAGAAAATTTATACGAAATTTGTTTATAAAAAGAAAATTTATCCGAAGGTTTTCTATAAACAGAAAGTTTATCCGAAAACTTTCTATAGAAAGAAAATTTATCCGAAAACTTTCTATAAAAAGAAAATTTATCCGAAAACTTTCTATAGAAAGAAAATTTATCCGAAAATTTCCAAAAAATGAAAATTTATATAGAAAGAAAATTTATCCGAAAAATTTTTATAGAAAGAAAAACATTTTCTATAAAATGAAAATTTATCGGAAAATTTTCTATAAAAAGAAAATTTATCCAAAATTGTTTCTTTTTTACCAGCGACATCATTTGAACTTGAAGTACTTGAATGTTTAATAATATTTATTGTATTTTTTTTTAATCATTTTTTTCAATATTTAATGAGTTTGTGGTGTCTGTGTGTCAATTATAATAGAAATTTTGATTTTTTTTTTATGAGACCAAATAAAATATAAAACTTTCTTTGATATTTATTTAATAATTATTTTTTTATGATCGTAAATACTTTAACAAGTGGATAATTAAAATTTGTTTATTTGAAAATAAATTTATGAATTTTATGATTTGTTTTATTGAGAAGAAGTTTTGGGGATACTTTATTTAATTATTGTTGTCATTATAGAATGGCGGCATTTTTGGGACTTTCAAAGAAAAGTGTCCAAAAAGGTTTTAATAGATGTTTTCAACTGAGTTGTCGGATTAAATACTTTTTTTCTTAAGAAAAATTAAACACACTTAAAGTTTAAACTTTAAAATATTCATCGAGAGTACCACACGTTTTCTCTAAAATTTAAATATTCTACCCAATGAGAAGTATTTCTTAGTCTTAAAAAACCAAATTTTCTATTCTAAAAGGAAAGGAATTTTAAACTTTTTCTTAAAAAATTAAATTTTTTATAATATTTTTTAAAAACGTGAAATTTTAGCAAATTTTTTTTTATAGAAAATTATAAATTTGCAAAAATTTTATTTAAAAGAGAGAAATTTTCTATCAAAAATAAAATTTTCTTTAAGAAGATAAATGTTTCGAAAATTTTCCATAAAAAAGCAAAAATTTTCCAACAATTTTCTATAAGAAGGTTTAGGTAAGAAGGGTAGCACCTCAATCAATCATGAGTAGCTCAAGTGGGTCCACCTAGTTACGGTCTAGTTATTACTTTCTACTTCCAGATTTAAACCAGCCGGTTTGTTTCACAAGTTTAGGATATTCTTAAGCCCAGAAACAGAATA